ACTGTTTAAAGTTGGCAAGAACCAGAAATTGTGACCAATGATTCTTCCCTATTGTGACCTATACATTTACTTTTATTGACATTCCAATTACAACTGTTGTGTACTGTTGTCTTAAGTACTCTGTATCTGTGTATATACTTTCTATATTAAGCATATGTTTTATGTGCATAATGTGCATATTTGTGTATTATTTATTCTGTTTCTGCATGTTAAGGAAGAATGATAAGCAAGTGAATTTGATTAGTCAAAAAACTGTGTCTGTGGCACTCCAAATATCCATTCCCTGTATTTCACACCTTGCAACTTGCATGCAACCTTCTCCCATAGTGCTTCCACAGACAATAGTAAGCATTTGACTATTTGACATATCGTTCCGCTTTTACACTTCATGTACAGTTGGATTGTGTGACATTGGCCAACTGCTAATTTTGTGAGGGCCTGTTGCGTGTCAGGCTGGACACACAGACATGACACAAGTCTCAAACTCTTCTTGTCTCCAACAGCTGGGAATGGCATGTCCATCCCCCCAAAAAACAAACATGTTGCTGAGGCCTGGGCGACACATTGTTGCACTTGACGTCGACTTAAGACCTTTGATTCCAAGCCGGCAGCTGGTTTGGTAACAGTGTTGAAAAGAAGGTCCCCATGTACTGTAGTATATAGTGTAAGTATAAGTGAAGCATTTGGAAGCTACTTCTTATGTTTGTGACCAAGAGTAATCTAAAAAACACATCAACCCAGATGCCAAAGGTGAGACAGCAAGTGAGAACCTGGATTTAACACAGCCAAGTCACCTGAGAGCCTCGTGTCACTGAATCTTAACATCTGAGTATGACTGGACATATTTTAGGTTATTTTTAAAACTATTTTTAGTCTGAACTCTACAAAAGTCTTTTACACTGCAGGCTATGGACAGGCAATATATAACCAGGAAGTACGACCATATTAGCACAGTTCTGTCAACTCTGCACTGGCTCCCTATTGAACATCGAATACATTTTAAAATCTTGCTAATTATTATAAAGCCCTCAATGGTTTAGCTACTCAAAACTTGAGTGAGCTCATATCGCATTATAGTCCTTCACGTCCGCTGCGATCTCAAATCCCTGGCCATTTGATAATACCTAGAATATCAAAATCAACTGCGGTTGGCTGATCCTTTTCCTATTTAGCGCCCAAACTCTGAAACAATCTACCTAGCATTGTTCGGGAGACAGACACACTCTGTCAGTTTAAATCTAGATTAAAAACCCATTTCTTTAACCTGGCATACACATTAGGGCTGGGCGATATGGGCAAAAATTCATATCTCGGTATTTTTTGGCCGATTTGCGATATACAGTGCTTTCTTTTTTTCACATTTTGTTATGTTGCTGCCTTATGTTAAACTGCTTTAAATGACTTTTTTCCCATATCAGTCTACAATTTTTTACACCATAAAGGTAAAGCAAAAAACTGTTTTTTAACATCTTTGTAAATTTATTAAAAATAAAAAACTTAAATGATTCCATTGCATAAGTACTCATACCCTTATCTGGGACAGTTGAAATTTAGCTCAGGAGCATTCATATTGCTTGTAGATGTCACTACACTTCAAGTGAAGTTAACCTTTGGCAAATTCAATTGAATGGGTATAATTTGGAAAGGCACACACGTCTTAATTAAAGGTCTAACAGCTGATAATGCATATCAGAGCAAAAGCTAAGCCCTGAGGTCAAAAGAACTGCCTGTAGAGCTCAGAGACAGGATTGCGTCAAGCCACACATATGGGGAGGAGTTCAGGAAAAAATTCTGCTTCATTGAAGGGTCACAGAAGCATGTAGTCTCTGTTACCCTTAATGGAAGATGTTTGAAACAACCAGGACTCTTCCTAGAGCTGGCCTCCTGACCAAACTGAGAAACTGATGGAGAAGGGCT